ATTACAACAAGCAGACAAGATGTGCGTCTCTCTCTGTTTCTCTTCGTCTCGCCCAACTACACCCAGTCAGTTGAGGCAGATGGCTGCCCACCTAGAGCCGGGGTTTCGCAGAGTCTCTGCCTCTTAAAAGCAAGTTTTTCCTTGCCACTGTTGCAAAGTGCTTGCTCATGGTGGCAATCATTTTATAAGGAGTACGGTATTTTAATTTTATTGAATTGACCAGATGAGGGTGAAACTGTATCAAACTAATTCGACCTTCACCCATTTTATTTAATTTGAAACAAAGACAAAAATACCTTTGAGGACTATTGTCAGTTTAATAGGTCAGACTCTCATAGAGATTAACAACAGACAGTCAACAACTGAGCATCTACGAATTATTCCACTTCCAGTTAATTGGTTCCAGTAAAATATGGTTGTACAAACAGAACTACTTAATGCATTTGGTATCAATCACCTGGTTCTTACATTATTATTTGGTCAAATAAATTAAATCTGCACTAGGTAACTTGTATAAAATAACTTTCTATCATATTTGCTATCTATTAACTATCTTTCTCAGATGATCTCCACTGCAACTTTAACATAATGACAGCACACATAAACTGGGTATTCTTATCTTACATAAAGCATACTTATGTCCTGATAATGGTAATTGGTCTTTTCCAAGTAAAATTGGTAAATGAATCCTCTTTGGGCATTATGTATTTAGAGAAAATGCACAGTTGCTTTTGTACATTTAGAGAGAGATAAAAATGTCCTATATGGCTATCCTGATGGTTATATAAACCCTTAATCTTCCTGTGGACTCTGTTTTTACTCATTCCCTCAGAATGCCAAGTTCCAGGTGCAGACCTGGAGATCAACCCCACGCTGGAGTCACTGTGCCTCAGTATGACAGAGCATGCCTTAGGGGGTAAGTGTCCTCAGCAGCCCTGTACTAAATAGGCCACTGGCTGGCAAACCTCACACACTAACCAGACAACAATGCCTTATTTATATATTATAGCCTTGTAATGAGAGTAAGAATTTTATGAACAGTTTGCGTACATCAGAGAAAGCAATACATACTAATTTATTCACACACAACTTCCTCTATGAAAACAAAGATGAAAAAGTCTGTTGACTTTTATCATTCATTTTTCACTAGTTATATTTGTGTATTAATATATAATAACATCTAAATTATACAATGCCATTAGTCAAGTCACAGTCAAGTTCCTCTTGCAGCGAGAGAAAGATGCAGACATATGATCTGTTTGGTGGTATGGTGTACTTGAAGGACACAATTTGTATCATCACGTCAAACAAGTTTAAGTAGTTCTGTATTATTTTACTGTGTACCAAGTACTCTGTGACTGATTAACTAAGGTCTCTCTGCTGCATGAATTATTGTGTGAGTTCGATGGAATTCAGGGAATTAAAACTATTTTCCTTCCTCGCTTTCTGGCAGACAGATCAGGTTACTGATGTCTTTCTGTGTCTGTGTTTACAGTCTGAAAGTGTCCTGTTCACTTTTGTTTAAATGCACAGTCATGGCAGATTAACAAATGTGTATTTTGGAGAGTTAGTTATTCCAAAGTCATTGCGAGGATAATGTATATACTTTAATTCAGCAGTGACGTGTATTTTCCCAACTTGTAAAAAGAGCTGCTACTTATCTGGAAATATATGTAATAAATATAAGATATGCTAAGTTGAGTATCTGATATACCATATAAATGCATGAAAGGTATGCAATAAATGTCAAAACTTACGGACACATTTTAAAAAGGCATCAATAGCTTTTTCTGCCGCTGGGAAAGGGGGACAAAAGAAGTAGAACTCTCTAATGGTGAAATACCCCTAAAGCATGAAATGTGAATGGTGCAGTATATTCTATGATTGTAAATGTCTTGAAACACATTTATTTCCAATCTCCTCCTCAGATGGAACAGACCGGACATCAACAATATGAAAAGAAGAAAGGAAAAATACACTTCAGTCGAGGCCTGTTAAGTTCCTCATCACCCAGCACAAAGATATACGTATGCTTAAGAAAACCAGGCAAAGCAGTCACTACAAAATGACAAAAAAACTGTGTATATGTTCTCTAATATTTTTGTACTTTATTATATACAACTAAGTTTATTAAAAATGGAATACAGATGATTATTATATTGCAGGACAGAGGAAAAAAAAAAAAAAAAGCAAACTGCTCCATGTCACCTGCAGGACTGTGACATGATGTGCAGAGGCTCAGTTTGCCGTGGTCTGAGAGAAAAACGGTGGATTGGTGCTGTCTTAAAGGGGTTCTGCCCTATGAGTTACTCTTCTTTTCCTCCTGTCTTGGAGCAAGGCTTCCTTCCAGAACACACTGACAGCCACAGCCCCTGCACCACATAATGTGTAGATTCAGAAAAGTCCCAGCCAGAAGTAAGGCACTTTTATTAAATTATCTCTGATATTGGCTCTAGGATACTTTCACCAAGGATCCACTTGTAGACAGGTGTTGACATACAGATACCAATACAGACCCTAGCCACCCTAACTGTTCTGTAACCAGTGCTAGTGAGGGCTTGTGTTGGTTGAAACTTAGGCCACTTTCCTTGGTTCTTTTTATCTTGTCTAGAGAACATGTGTTTTCGTGGCAAAGGCAGGAAAGGGAGGAAAAAGGTTAGAGGAAAAGTTTGTAATTCAACTATAGGCACACCTTTTGTCTTGGTTGTTTACCCTAAACACATAATCAAAGTAGAAGTGACTCTCCTCCTCTAAACATCTACAAAGCCAAAGAGAAGGGTTGTGCGATTGTTAATTTGAGAATGATATTTGTAGTGAAATGCAACAGAATGGTATAATTTTTTTAAAAAGAACAGCAGTTCCAAGAATTTATGCCAGCTGCAATTTGTCTGTTATTTTATGCCCTACTACATAAATGATGATGAATCTCATTTTGTGCCGAGGAATCCCCAGAGGGGTTAATAAGGGCTGGTGGGGTTTGTACTTTGCAAGAGCTGATTTGATATTGAATTGATAAAAGTGAGGAGGGTAGAGTGTTTTCAATTTACACTCTAATGCTGGGTGAGAAAACTAAATGAAACCCATCTCAACCCTCTGGCCCCCTTATGATTGGCTCTGGAAAATGAATCTTGATCTTGTAATAAATGCTCCGGAGCGCAGCGCCTCACCCTCGCAGTGCCCTCTTCCTCAAACGGCCAATGTGATGATTTGATGAATCATACTTTTCAAGGTGCTTGACGATGTCCATATTTTCTGTTTGTGTCTCAATGTGTTTCAGTCTCAGAACCCTAACATTATCATGTGGTATCAGTGTTGAATCAAAAACTGTCTTATACAGCCTCTGTCTTTGAATGTGGCAGAGCGGAGGTGCATGTATGTGTAATATGGTCTTAACTTTTGGATCACTTTTGGTTGCAACATAAGGCAGGGATAACCATTCACATTTTATTTCAGCAGAGCCATAGGAGGTCTGTCTAGTAAAGATGGTTATTTACAAATATCTTTTCCAATTGTATTTTTTACTCTCCCTTGATATTGATAACTTATGCTTATTTTCTATAACCGCATGTTTTGCCACACTAATACAGCACTGTTGTAGATAGAGGACATGATGGTTGATGGTGCCCAGAGTCACCAACAGCTAGAGAGCAGAAATCTTGCAACTAATGTTGTATGTTTATATCGCCTAAATGTCACTGTTTACATTTCTCTGGGATAATGCCCAATTCATGTTATGTGATGTCATGAATACTCCATTGTCTCACTATGTAACACATTAAAGAACTGACGCCTTCTCACACATGAGCTGGCTGGGTAGAGCCTGAAAACAAAAGCCTTCTACCCCCCTAATCCATGGACTCCTTATGAGTTTCAGTAGATTTTCCAACTGGTAACTGTATGAGGCATGTAACGCCTGCTTTTCTTGGTCATGCAGTGACGAGAGAGAATATCTTTCCTGGCCTTGTGATTGAACTGTTGGCTGTCATGTCCTGATAAACTGTTCATGTGGTGCCTGAAATGCACAGCTCCAGCATCCTCAATATGCTGATTTAATGGTCTTGAGTAGTATTCTAGTCATGGATTTCTTCAGAGCAGGCTCTTGGATAGATCTGACTTACTAAAAGCATCACACTCATGCCCGCAAAGGACTCCTGTGAGTTAACAATGCTGACAACTTTAAGACTCTGCTATCTTATTTTTAACTATTCACTATACTGTATATCAATTGTGTTATGTTACAAATGGCTCAGATTATCCTTTTCATAGCCTCTGTAGCTTTGGACAGCTTGCATATTACTGCAAATAGACACAGAGGTACAATGCAGAAGATTTCTGCAAGTGTCTGTGCATAGTGAAGAGGCAGCAGGGGATGACAATGCTTATCTGAGCCACAAATGATGTGATTATGAGTAAACTGAACACTAATAACAGGCCAAGGAATATGTTTACTCCATGTTTACATTCCAGTGATGCATGAAATGAGTTGGGAAATGCACTTAATAAGTTCAGCCTTGTGTATTTTCATATACCAAGCATCCACTAGGAGGTACAGAGCCTGTGTCATATGGAGACTTATATACCAAGTGGTCCCAGGATCATGTCAATGTCCCTACCAGGCTTGGTTGTTGAATTCATGCAGCCAGCTGTAGGTCACATTGCGTATATTTGTCTTGTACAATTTATATTTAATTCCGATGACTCCCCCAGACATTTTCTAATATTTTATGAACCTTTTGCATCCCATGCTTACTCTCTACTTTTTTTTTTTTTTTACTGTCAGTCGTGTGTGTGAATGGTCTGAAGTGCAGCATCCGTCGGATCATTGACAGTCCAAATAAAGAGGTTCAGTTCTTTTGCAGCTTCACTTGTGGTTTGTGTTTGTGTCTATTTACTTCCACATATTGGATACGCATCTTAGCAGCAAAAACAAAAGTCAGTAAAAGGTTGTTTTTTTTTTGCTTTGCTCTCATGTGTCTTGTTAGAGACGTCCTTTCATGTTCCCACGAGAAATTAACACAAGTTACTTATTACTTCCGGGTTGCACGGTTGATTGTGTCGAGCTAATACGAGCTAGCCGCCTTTTTTTTTGTTACCGTCATTAGTTTATTCATGAAGAAACAGGAGCTGTTCCGTCGGGAAACTTGATGACAACCGCTCGGGTATGTTCACATTTTGTGTTAGGGGTGAGAAAGCCGGACATAAGTTGCCATAGATACACATTAACTTGTCCTCCCCGACAGCAAAGAGTGCCCCAAGTTAGCTCCCAGCTAGCCGTCCTTGCTAACGAGTTTAGCTCGATGGCTAACGTTAATGTTCTCGGTTTGTGTGTTTGACTGAAAGAGGAGGTGATTAAATCGTCGATTTTCCCCTCAAGAATCTGAATGTTTGCGAGTATTCACCGCTGGCTAACGTTTGCTTAAATTGCAAGTGGGGGGGAAAAAAAAGTTGGGGAATTAATGTTTTTAATCGACCGTCCGCTGTCTCTCGATAATAGTTGATGTGAATAAAGAGAAGACACAAAGAAAACCCAGACAGAAAGAGGAAGCTCGGTTGACACAAGTGCTATGTTAAAATAAAGAAAACTTCATCTGATCAGCGCTGTTGGGTCGCTGTCAACTTATCTTTTGTTTTGTTTTAAAGCCACATTAAAAACCACCAACCAGCTAACTGCTAAGTCCTAAAATTGTGGATTTATAAATAAACATTAGAAGATGCTTCACAGCTTCACATGCTTCAGATAACATGGATGCTTTAAACCAGTTGTTTTGAAACATTGGCAGCATTATACTGTCGTAAAGAGTGAGAATAGACTAATAACTCTCACACAGGCCATCACAACAATACAGTTTTATTCAAGAGCTAGATCCCACAGAGGCAACAACATTTATAATAAATCTGTAATAAACTGTTTGTTGTGTTTGTTTAGAGTTGGGCCTGCACTGGCTGGGTTGTTTGTTTTTTTTAGTTCCCTGATATGCTTTGAATTTAAAGTTCTTATAGACACTTAAAATAGCTTTCAGTACACACTCAACATCACAAACAGCCTTTAAACTTATTCATTTGAAACATCGAGAGCTGAAACAACAAGTCAATTAGCCATCAATCAGCAGACAATGAACCTGCAGCTGTTTTGATTGTTTAATTCGTTTGTTTTAAAGGAAAAAAGTAGCTTTAGCTTTTCAAATCTTAATCTTTACTGGTTTTATTATTCGTCTGTGATTTTTAAACTGGATATCTTTAGGTTTTTAATGTCAGTTTGGGCTTTGGGAAATTTTTATTTATCATATTAACTGAAAAAATACAGATTAAAAGACGACGAGAATAATTATCAGTTGCAGCGCTAAAATCAGCACCTCTCTAAAACAGTGTAAAAAAATCGGAACATTATGGCCTTAATGAAAGGTTTTTTGAGCAGAGCCGTTGTGTTGCTTCAGTTTTATAAATGTATCCAATAAACTAGCGTGTATCACTAGTAATATGACAGTGTCTCAAAAAGGTAATTGCAAGCATTTAAGTGGAGCTCATCTTGTTTTGCAGGTTGTTTTGACCGTGGCCGCAGTGCTTGGACAACGATAATGACATCTCAGACACGGGATGTGGACGGGATACTTTCTGCTAAAAGCTAACTGCAATTACAAGTTGTCCCTCAGCAACTGTTGCTTTTCCACCACATAATCCATCATGTCGTTACCAAAGGAGTCAGGGAACCGAGGGAAAGATCGAGAGAGGGGGGCCCGTCCCAAGGTGAGACAGAGCCGGTCAGAGGAGAGACGAGATGCAGGCAGTGGACGGAAAGGGGGTGGAAAGGGGAAGAAAAAAGGCCTCGCCTCACACGAACCGGCAGCTGAGAGGCCTGTCAGCGATGGCTTTGAGTACGGTGAGCTGTTGAGCGACCTAGAGACCAGGGACCAATCTTCCTCCTCGCCTCTGAAGGAGAGTTGGAGGTGGCAGGGTTTGGAGGCCGCTGCCTCGTTATTGGGACAAGAACGGGTAACAGCCAGACCAGGGGTGGGAACAGTTAGCTCAGCGACAGAGTTATCTGCACCCAGTGACGGTGAAGGCAGGGGGTCAAGCAGCAGTCGCACTTTCCGGCAAAAAATCCAAGATGCAATGGGGCAGTGTTTCCCGATAAAGACACACACTGCGGCTGCGGCAGCACCAGCACCGACGCCGCAGGCTCTTTCGTCATCAAACGCCTGTGCCTCCTCAAGGCGCAAGATCCACCTCAGTGAGTTGATGTTGGATGACTGCCCTTTCCCTGTAGGATCAGAGCTGGCTCAGAAGTGGTATCTCATTAAGCAACACACGGCGCCCATTACCCAGCCTCCCGTGCTCGATTCTGCGGTAGTGTGCAGCGCCCCAACTTCAGCCGTAGCTACTGTGGTGGAGGACGTAGACGACAGGTTGCGGGAGCGCAGGCGCATCAGCATCGAGCAAGGTGTTGAGCCACCACCAAACGCAGAGATCCACACGTTTGAGGTGACGGCCCAAATTAACCCTCTCTACAAACACGGCCCTAAACTGGCTCATGGTATGAATGAGTTAGCTGGGGCTGACAGAGCCTCGGTTCATCAGCAGCAGCAGCTTCTTCTCCAAAGACAGCAGCAGCACCAGCTCCTACTGCAGAGGTGTTTGGACACTCTGGATGAGGTGGTGGCCTCGGCCTCGGCCTCAGCCTCAGCCTCGGCCTCGGCTTCAGTCCCAGTTCCAGTCCCAGTCCCAGTCCCAGTCCACACCTGTGATACTATTTCCGACTCTCTGGTTGAGCCAGAGGTTACAGCGACCAGCGTGCCCTCTAGAGCCGTGCTTCCACCGACTGAGCATCACAAATCTCACGATGGCTACCGCATTCACACTCAGATTGATTACATTCACTGTTTAGTTCCAGACCTGCTGCAGATCACCAACCTCCCGTGTTACTGGGGGGTCATGGACCGCTACGAGGCAGAGACGCTGCTTGAGGGAAAGCCCGAAGGCACCTTCCTCCTGCGAGACTCCGCACAGGAAGACTACCTCTTCTCCGTTAGCTTCCGCCGTTACGGCCGCTCGCTACATGCACGCATTGAACAGTGGAACCACAACTTCAGCTCTGATGTGCACAATGCCAGTGTCTTCCATGCTCCCACTATGACAGGATTGCTGGAGCACTACAAGGACCCTAAGTCCTGCATGTTCTTCGAGCCCCTGCTGTCCAACCCCATCCACCGCACACAGCCATTCACCCTGCAACACATCTGCAGAGCAGCCATAAGCAGCTGCACCACCTATGATGGCATTAACATGCTTCCCATTCCAACTGCTTTGAAAAAGCACCTGAAAGAATACCACTATAAGCAGAAAGTGCGTGTACGGCGAATGGACACATGGTGGGAATGAAGAACAAAATGATGGACTAAAAGAAACTACTAAATACATTTTTAATGCAATTCACCTGGAACTGAATTAAACTGAACTGAACAATGAGTCTTGTTCACTCTACCTGGCTGTATTAACCTACACTGCACTGTACTTTATTTATTTTATTCCTGCTGTACATGTCTTAACAATTGTACTAAACTCCACTAATAAGACAATATGTAATCTCACTGATCTTGTACACTCAAAGTTCTTTATGCTCAAATTAAACAAACTTATTTAGATCTGTGTTGTTCAGAGAACGACCCTCACACATCATCTGTGATAAGGTTTCCTTCTTATTACAGAAGTGTAGAAGTGCAGCATGACTGCAGTATTAATCATTGTTTCCAGCATTGAGCCCAAGGCTGATTATAAGGAGTGAGAGGTGGGGGCATGTGTTACCTGTTCTTATTAAAAAGAAGACGGCTTGCTATGGAATAGATATTTCTCACACGTTGAGGTTGTGATTACATGCTCACATTCATTTTTAGTGTTGTGGTTTAATTATAGGGAAAGATGCAGAGTTATGTTGCACAGCCTGTAGTAAATGAATGTCTTATGCTCAGATTCTACATCACACACCTGCTTTGTTTTCAGCTTACATCATGCAACCACCGTGGTCTATCCTATGAGATTAACATGCATGTGGCCAGGGGCCAACGGCCTTCATTAGTTTTAAGGTAAAGGA